CCTCCCCTTCTCCCCAGCAGCCCATCCCAGCGCACCGCCCCCTCCGCCCCGACCACTTTATTTCGGCGTCGTCGTCGCCCCCCCTCCCCTTCCTCACCCAGCACCAGCCCAGCCGCACCCCAACCGCCCCCTCCGCCCGACCACTTTATTTCGGCGTCTCGTCGCCACCGCCCCCCTCCTCCTTCTTCTCCTCAGCAAGGCCCCCGCCGCTGCCCCCTCCCCCCGACCACTATTATCGGCGTTGTTTCGACATCCCACTTCCGCCCCGACGACTTTAATTTCGCGTCGTCGTCGCCCCCCCCTCCTTCTCCCTCAGCAAGCCCAGCGCGCTGCCCACCTTCCGCCCGACGACTTTATTTCGGCGTCGCGACGCCCCCCCCCCCTCTCCCCTTACCCCAGCAGCCCAGCGCGCCGCCCTCTCCGCCCCGACCACTTTATTTCGGCGTCGTCGTCGCTCTATTTCGGCGTTTTGTCGACATGTGTCGCTTTCCCCAGCAGCCCAGCGCACCGCCCCCTCTGCCCCGACGACTTTATTTCGGCGTCGTCGTCGCCCCCCCCCCCCCCCTCCCCCGCTCCTCAGCAAGCCCAGCGCCGTGCCCACTTCCGTCCGAACTTGATTTCGGCGTTGTGGTCCCGACATGTGTCGCTACGTGTCCTCCAAGCACCCCAGCGCACCGCCCCATCCGCCCCGACGACTTTATTTCGGCGTCGTCGTCGCCCCCCCCCCCCCTCCCCCTCTCCTCAGCAGCCCAGCGCGCTGCCCCCTTCCGCCCCGACCACTTTATGTCGGCGTTGTGTCGACATGTGTCGACATGTGTCGCTTTCCCCAGCACCCCAGCGCACCGCCCCCTCCGCCCCGACGACTTTATTTCGGCGTCGTCGTCGCCCCCCCCCCCTCTCCCTCTCCTCAGCAGCCCAGCGCGCTGCCCCCTCCGCCCCGACCACTTTATTTCGGCGTTGTGTCGGCACCCCCCCCCCCCCCCCCCACCTTACGTTTCCCCCTTCGTCCCCGGCAGCGACGCGCGCCGCCCCTCCGCCCCGACCACATTGATTTCGGCGATTGTGTCGACATGGGGTCGCTATGTGTTCGCTTTCTCCGCAGCACGGCGAGCGTCAACCGCCGTCCAGCCCCCAACGACTTCATTCGGCAGTCCCGTCGTCGCCCCCTCCCCCCCCCGCCCCTGCTCCCTCGCCTCAGCAATCCCAGCCGCTGCCCTCCATGCGCCCCGACCACTTTATTTCGGCGTCGTTCGTCGCCCCCCCCCCCCCCCTCATCCCCCCTCATCACCAGGCACCCAGCGCACCGCCCCCTCCGCCCCGACCACTTTATTTCGGCGTCGTCGCCCCCCCCTCCCTCCCCAGCTGCCCAGCGCCCTTCGGCGTCGCACCGCCCCCTCCGCTCCGACCACTTTATTTCGGCGTCGTCGCCCCCCCCCTCCCCAGCTGCCCAGTGCCCTTCGGCGTCGCGCTGCCCCCTCCGCCCCGACCACTTTATTTCGGCGTTGTGTCGACATGTGTCGCTATGTGCCGCTCCCCAGCACCCCAGCGCACCGCCCCCTCCGCCCAGACGACTTTATTTCGGCGTCGTCCCCCCCCCTCTCCTTCTCCTCAGCAGCCCAGCGCGCTGCCCCCTGCGCCCCGACCACTTTATTTTCGGCCGTCGTCGTCGCCCCCCCCCCCGTCCCCTTCTCCCCAGCTACCCAGCGCGCCGCCCCCTACCGCCCCGACCACTTGCACGACTCTGGCGATCGTCTCGCCCCCACCCCCCCCCCCCCATCCCCCTCACCGTCTCCTCAGCAGCCCAGCGCAAATAAGACCCGCCCCACTCGCCCCGACGACTTTATTTCGGCGTCGCCGTCTGCCCCCCCCCCCCCCCTCCTTCCTTTTCCTCAGCAAGCCCCAGCGCGCGGCCCTCTCCGCCCCGACCACTTTATTCGGCGTACGTCGTCGCCCCCCCCCCCCCCATCCCCCTCTCCCCAGCAGCCCAGCGCGCCGCCCCCTTCGCCCCGACCACTTCCTTCTCTTGCACAGCTGTGCTCTAGAGCTCGGACCTCTTTATTTTCGTTCGTTCGTCGTCGTCCCCGGCCCCTGGTCCGGCCCCGACCCTGGACCCAACCTCCCCACCCCGTACGGCCTCAGCCCCCCTCGCCCCGCTGCCCCTGGCCCTGGACCCAGCCTCCCCCCCACCCGGCCCTGGCCCCAGTCCCCCTCGCCCTGGACCCTTTATTTTCGCTCGTCGTCGTCCCTGGTCCGGTCCTGGCCCTGGACCCAACCTCCCCCCTGGTCCTGGCCCCAGCTCCCCTCGCCCCGCTGGCCCAGGGCCTGGACCCAGCCTCCCCCCCGCCGGCCCTGTCCCCAGTCCCCCTCGCCCTGGACCCTTTATTTTCGTTTGTCGTTGTCCCTCTGGTCCCGGCCCTGGACCCAACCTCCCCACCTGGCCCTGGCCCCAGCCCCCGTCGCCCCGCTGACCCTGGCCCTGGACCCAGCCTCCCCCCCGGCCCTGGCCCCAGCCCACCTCGCCCTGGCAACCCTTTATTTTCGCTCGTCGTCGTCCCTGGCAGCTGGTCCGGTCCTGGCCCTGGACCCAACTCCCCCCCTTGCTGGACCCTTTGTTTTCGTTCGTCGTCCCTGGTCCGACTCTGGCCCTGGACCCAACCTCCCCACCTGGTCCTGGCCCCGTGGAGCCCCCCTCGCCCCGCTGGGTCCCTGGTCCGGTCCTGACCCTGGACCCAACCTCCCCCCCTGGTCCTGGCCCCAGCTCCCCTTGCCCCGCTGGCCCAGGGCCTGGACCCAGCCTCCCCCCCGCCGGCCCTGTCCCCATTTCCCCTCGCCCTGGACCCTTTATTTTCGTTTGTCGTCGTCCCTCTGGCCCTGGCCCTGGACCCTGCCTCCTCCCCTGGCCCTGGCCCCCCGCCCCCCTTGCCCCGCTGGCCCTGGCCCTGGACCCAGCCCCTCCCCCCCGGCCCTGGCCCCAGTCCCCCTCGCCCTGGACCCTTTGTTATCTTGCGCAGCTGTGTTCTAGAGCTCGGACCTCTTTATTCTCTTGCACAGCTGTGCTCTAGAGCTCGGACATCTTTATTTTCGTGTCGTGTCGTGTCGTTCGTCCCCCTGCCCCCCCCCTGTCCCCCCCCCCGTGCAGGCTCCCCAGGGCAGCCCCCCTGGGCCTCGGACACCTTTATTTTCGTGTCGTGTCGTGTCGTTCGTCCCCCTGCCCCCCCCCGCCCAGGCTTCCCAGGGCAGCCCCCCTGAGCCTCGGACATCTTTATTTTCGTGTCGTGTCGTGTCGTTCGCCCCCCTGCCCCCCCCCCCTGCCCCCCCCCCAGACCCAGCTCCCCCGTCCAGGCTTCCCAGGGCAGCCCCCCTGGGCCCCAGACATCTTTATTTTCGTGTCGTGTCGTTCGTCCCCCTGCCCCCCCCCTGCCTTCCCCCCAGACCCAGCTCTTCTGGGCCACCCCCCCGTGGGAGCCCTGAGACCCAGCTCCCCTGGGCCCCCCCCCCCTCGGGAGCCCTTGGGAGCCCGGCTCCGTCCAGGCTTCCCAGGGCAGCCCCCCTGGGCCACGGAACCCTCCCCTCCGTGCTCCCCTGGGCCACCCCCCGTGGGAGCCCTTGGGAGCCCTCCTCCGTCCAGGGTTCCCAGGGCAGCCCCCCTGGGCCACGGAACCCTTTATTTTCGTCGTCGTCCTTCGTTCCTGGGACACCCCCCGTGGAAACTCTTGGGAGCACCCCTCCGTCCAGGCTTCCCAGGGCAGCCCCCCTGGGCCACGGAACCCTGTATTTTCGTCGTGGTCGTTCGTGGTTCGTGGAAACCAGGCCAGGCCCAGAAATCGTCGTCGTCGTCCTCCTCCTCCTCCTCCGCTTTCTTCCTGGCTCCTCGTAAACCCCTCCTGGAAGAAGGAGGCGGGGGCCTCCTGTCCTTCGCAACTCCTTTGTGCAAGAGCCAGGGCACGCGTGCCACTTGTTTTCGCTCGTCGTCGTCGTTCGTTCGTCGTTCGTCCTCCCCCCGGCGGCCACAAAAATAAACTCCTGGAGGAAGGAGAAGAAGGCCTCCTGTCTCTCGCTGCTCCTTAGTGCAAGAGCCAGGGCACGCGCGCCACTTGTTATCAGCCGCCGAGGGCGCAACCTATGGCGCAACAGATAGGAGCTCTAGATGGTTTTATTCTTAGCCGCAGGAGGCGCCAGCTATAGTGCAACCGACAGAGACGGTTTTATTCTCGGCTGCCGAGGGCGCAACCTATGGCGCAACTGATAGGAGCTGGTTTTATTCTCTGCCGCCGAGGGCGCAAGCTATGGCGCAACCGATAGGAGACGGTTTTATTCTCAGCCGCCGAGGGCGCAAATTATGGCGCAACCGATAGGAGATGGTTTTATTCTCAGCCGCCGAGAACGCACCTTATGGCGCAACCGGCAGGACACAGGAGACGTTTTTTTTGGGAGTCCCATGCGGCCCAAACAAAAAAACACGACAGGTGCACCTGTCTTCGCCCCTCATCCCCCCGTTGGTATCGTCCACCCACTGCGGTCGGGAACTGTTGGACAGCCTATCGCTCCGCCGGCTCTGGCCCACCACGCTTCGGCACGACACGCGATCCACTTACCTGTCCACAGCCTCGGTGGTGAGCGAGGGGGGGAAGTGAGGAGGAAAAGGGCCGATCAGAAGGTGGCGGGAATTCTCAGAAGGTCTCTGGCCTTCTGAGATGTTTTCTGTGTCCTTGGGGAAGGCTTAGAACACTTGTCAGAAAGCCAGGGGACTTCCGAACCTTCTGAGAAGGCCTTTTCCTTCTCAGTTCCCCCCCCTCCCTCGCCGCAGACAACCGTCCACATCCCGAGCTGTTCCGAGCCTCGGGGCGGAGCGACACGCTTCCCGCTCGCAAGGCATAGCGTGTCGTCGGGGCCGCCACCGCGACACGCTTGCAAAAACTCTCGACCGTACCGCCCTCGCACTGGGCAGCGCCCACTGGTAGCGGCTTGGCTGTAGCCTCTTGGCCCGACGCCGCCCGCAGGCCGCTGGCGCTACGCCGGCAGGCTCGGAGAGGGTGGCCTCGCGGTGGTCCACCGCGCCGTGGACGTGACCGGCCCCTGGGGCGAGGCGCCCCGCTTGCGCTGCCATCCCTTGTCCCACCTCTCGAAGAGGAAGAGCGGCATAAACATACCTGTACGACCACCCTTCGGGTGATAAGGAGGTTCGGGGGGGGGAGGAACCAACGTCTCACTCGATCGGTCTCACTATCGATCCCACTATCGATCTCACTGTCGGTCTCGCTCGATCGATCTCACTCGATAGATCTCACAATCGATCTCACTCGATCTATTTCATTCGATCGATCTCACAATCGATCTGAGTATCGATCTCACAATCGATCTCACTATCGATATCATAGTCGAGCTCACGTTCGGTCTAACTATCGATATCACAACCGATATCACAATCAACGTCATCGTCATCATCAACATCATCGTCATCAACGTCATCAACATCATCATCATCATCATGAGCATCATCGGGACACCACCATCATCATCACCTCATCACCATCATCATCAACATTATCAGCATCACCATCATCATCATCGGGACACCATCATCGTCACCATCATCATCATCATCAACATCACCGTCATCGGGACACCATCAGCGTCATCATCGGAGCACCCCCATCATCATCATCATCATCATCATCATCATCATCATCATCATCATCATCATCATCATCATTTTCATCATCATCATCATCTCATCACCATGATCATGAACAACATCATCAACATCATCATCACCAGGACACCATCATCATCATTCGCAACATCATCATCATGAACATCATAATCATCGGGGCACCATCATCATCATCAGCAACATTGTCATCAGCAGCATCGGGACACCATCATCATCAACATCAGCATCATCATCATCACCATCATTGGGCCACCATCACCAAAAATCATCATAAACACCTCATCAGCATCCTCATCATCAACATCATCATCATCATCATCGGGGCACCCTCTTCGTTATCCTCATCATTATCATCATCATCACCGGGACACCATCATCATCACCATCATCATCATCAATCTCATCATCATCAACCTCATCATCATCATCATCATCACCATCATCGGGACACCATCATCATCCTGATCATCGTCATCAAATCAGATGATCATCATCAACATCATCATGATCGTCAACATCATCATCATCATCGGGGCACCATCATCATCAGCAACATTGTCATCAACAACATCCTCATCATCGGGGCACCGTCATCATCTCCATCATCACCATCATCACCATCAACACCGTCAACGTCATCATCACCATCACCATCATCATCACCATCATCATCGGTTCACCATCATCATCATCATCATCATCATCATCATCATCACCATCACCATCACCATCACCATCATCATCATCATCATCATCATCATCATCATCATCATCATCGTCAACATCATCAACATCATCAGCATCATCATCATCATCGGGACACCGACGGGACACCGGCGGGACACCGGCGGGACACCGCGCGCCACCGGCCCCCGAGCGGGACACCAGCGGGACACCGCGGGGCACCGGTTGCCGGAAGGGAGAATTTTGGTCCGGCCGCGCCTCAGCTACAGGAGACTTCTGTCTCGCCCGCCCACGCAGTTTCGCCTCGCCCGCACGCACGGCACGCACGAAACCGAAACCGATTTCCCGGTAGGGGGACTCTCCGTTCCACTTCGATCTCGCCCCCTCATCTCCGACATTTTCGGCGCGGGTCCGAGGTGGCCCAGCCGTGTGTCTGGCCAGCAGGAAAGAGGGGTGAGGCCCTCTACGTTCGAGAAGTGTTTGGCCTCTGGGGGCCCAGACCGTCAAAGACGGATCTGCACCAAGTAGAGCCCGGGAGCGGTTTGGGGACCGATTTTCAACGGATTTGTCTTTATCTTCCCTTCTTGACCAACTTTCTCGGGGCCCATCCTCTTCATACCCCCCGGCCGCCTCAAGAGACCACGAAGGACGAGGAGAAACCCAGGGGGCGGGATGATTATGTCTTTGGTCACCCCAGATGGGGCAAGTGCGGAACGATGAAACGGGCGGGACTGCGACGGGACGCACCACCCAACCATTTGCACCTGCTCTTCCTTGGCACATCATTGCGCTCGTTCTACTCTTTTCGAACTCTAGCATGGCTGACCTACTGCCATTTTCACCTCCTCTGTCATCCCTCTCCTTCTCCTCCCTCCACCGTTTGTGTCCTTCCTCCCTTGTCTCTAGTATCGAAGACGCCTACGGCGAATCACCGCCGCCCCCTGCCTTTTTGGAAACGCCGATGTGGCCGAAAGTTGGACTAGAGCTTGGCCAAGCTATCGGACCATGAGTTCCCCGAGTTGGTTTGGAAAGCTTTCGGGGAACACATGGGAGAGAATGATTATGAACAGGAAGAGGAAGAGGAAGAAATAGAGTAGGAGGATGAGGGTTGTTAGGAGTCTCTTGGGGCACCCTTGGGGTCTGTTGGGGGCTTCTTGGGGGCCTCTTCGAGGCCTCTTGGAGGCATCTTGGGGGCCTCCTTGGGCCTCTTGGGGGCCTTTGGGGGCTTCCTGGGGGTCTCTTTGGCCGTCTTAGGGCGTTCCTGGTCCGTCTGACGCCGTCTGGAGCCGTCTTGGGGGCCTCTCTGGGCCGTCTTGGGGCCCTCTTGGGGCGCTTCAGGGCCGTCTTGGAGGCCATGTTGGGCGTCTTGGAGGCCTCTTGGGCCGTCTTGGGGCGCTCTTGGGGCCGTCTTGGGGGGCCCTTGGGCCGTCATAGGGCCTTCTTGGAGGCCTCTTGGGCGATCTTGGGGGCCTCTTGGGCCGTCGGAAGGCCGAAAAGAAGAAAACGCAAAAAACCTTCAAAAACCTAAGGAAAACCAATGATTTTGGCCTCTTCGGGCTCTCCTGGAGAACGTCTTGGAGGCCTCTTGGGCCATCTTGGAGGCATCTTGGGGCCATCTTGGCCGTCTTGGAGGGCATCTTGGGCCGTCTTGGAGGCATCTTGGAGCCATCTTACCCGTCTTGGAGGCCATCTTGGCCGTCTGGGAGGCATCTTGGAGGCCATCTTGGGCCATCTTGGCCGTCTTGGAGGCCATCTTGGGCCAAGTTGGGGCAACAAAGGCATTGACAGACGGATTTTCGGAAACTTGCGGGTGGCCGGCGGGACGGGCCGAAGCCCACTGGGGAGTCCTTTTAGAAAAAGAACCAAAACCAAAACCTGAAACGTCCAGCACGCCGTGCACCCCTGTGGCAAGACCACAGGGGGCGGCGGACCTAATGGCCTTCGGCCCATCCCGCCACCGTGGCTGGGTTGCGGGCCGGAGTTTTCAGGGATGTTTCTTGAGGTTTTTTTGGAGCGCTTTCGGGGTCCTCTTAGAAACAGTTGTGGGGCCTCTTGGGACCCCCTTGGGGGCCTCTTAGGACATCTTGGTGGCTTCTTGGGGACCTCTTGGGGCCTCTTTGGGGGGGCCCTCTGTAGCCATTTTGGCTCAAGATGTCATCCTCAGGGGGCCGCCGCCCCTGTGGACGAAGGGACACCGCTAGTCCGCGGCAGTCAGAGCACCCTGCTGCTCGGCGAACGGGCCACCCTCGCGCGAGCGCTGTCGAGCCATGGTGCCCGCAGCAGGGTGGCAGGGACAGTGGAAGCAGGGCAACGGCCTGTGGTCATGCTCGTGCGGAATGTGTGACAACTACGCGTCGAGGAGGAAGTGTCGAGGATGCGGAACACAGGCCCCCTAGGCAGGCAGCTATTGTCAAGCAGGTGCTGCTGGGCCCTTCTAAACGTGAAGTTACCATGCAAAAGAACTTGGACGCCATGCGCGATGAGCTTCGCATCGTCAAGAAGGAGCGCAGCCTTGACATGGAAAGCGGCGTGGTGGAGCCAAAGGCGGACCTTACCAAGCTGTTCAAGTGGGCCGAGGCTTGCAAGACAGAGTGGGGGGAATCGTCGGTGGAGTACCAGGCCGCTCAGGGGCGAAGAGGACAGCGCCAAGCCGCAAAGTTTGCAGTTCACCCAGGCGCGCATCGCGAAAGGAAAGGCAGAGAAGGAAGTGGCAGGCCTCCAGGAGGAGGTACAGCGGCACGAGAGCAGTTGGCGGAGGCTCGTGGACGCTTGGCAAAGAACGAGGAGCAGGCGAAGGCAGCACGTGCCCGAGTGCAGGAGCTCAAGCTGCAGGGTGTCGGAGACGCCCCCTCTGGTTTCCTCGCAGCTTTGCAGAAGCAGTACGAAAAGGCAGTCGACGGCAGTGGCGGATCCTCGCTGGAGTACCAGCAGCTTCTCGCCCAGCTCGGCAAAGTCATGGCCAACTCGCCGTGGAGGTCAACGGGAGTGCGGAGGACTGGTGCTTCAGGATCGATCGAGACGTGCGCGGCCACTGCGTCGGCGGCAGCGGCGGCGGCTGGAGCTCATGGGGGAGAGAGATGTGAAGGTGAAACACCACCCGCTGGGCGAGAACGTCGCATGGAGGTGCACGGGCCGTGCGTTGCGCGCGTGGCGCGCGGAGCCCACTCGGCGACCTGGAGAGCGGGGCCCAGGGCAGCCTGCTCAGGGCCGCTGGAGAAGAAGGGCAAGTCATCCAAGGACGACGCCAAGAGAAAGAAGAGAGATCGCATCCTGGCGGGGAAGCACCCGCAGACGGCCAAGCAGCTGCCCCAGGATCCCGTCCTGCCCGCGCAACGCGGCTAAGCGCTGCGGGGCGGCGTCGAGGGAAGCTAGTGCAGAAGCAGGCAGTGAAGACTTGAGTTCAGGCCGCATTGTGCGGCGACGGGCCTTGTGGTGGAATCCGCTGGGGGCCCTGGGGGCCAAAAAGAGCCCCCCAGGGGGGTCCTAGTCCGTTCGGGTCCGCCCATCCGACTACGACAACGACGACGACGACGACGACGACGACGACGACGACGACGACGACGACGACGACGACGATGACGATGACGATGACGACGACGATGACGACGGCGAGGACGACGAGGACAACGACGACGACGACGACGATGACGACGACGACGGCGACGAGATCGCCCGCGCCATCTATCGGCCCGGGAGGTGGCCCTGAAGGTCCTCCGAGGCGCCGCGCGGCCGGTGCACGCCTTCGAGCTCCACCGCGAGGCGTCCCTCGCCATGGGTCGGCCACGCGCCGACGGGGGGTAATCGCGAAGGGTCTTTAATGATCCGTCCGCCCCCCCCGAAGCTGTCGGCGGGGAATCGAATCTTGTCCCTCCTCCTCATCCTTCCCCTCCCTCCTCCTTCCCCTCCCTCCTCCTCCTCCTCCTCCTCCTTCTCCTCCTCCTCCTCCTCCTCCTCCTCCTCCTCCTCCTCCTCCTCTTAGAAGCACCCCGCTTCTCAAAAGGGGCGGGCCTTGGCTGCAGGTGTGAGGCCGGCGCCCACTGAGAAGCAGGCTCCTAAGACAGGAGCCTTCCCCCTCTCCCTACAGTCAACCCGCATAGTGAGGATGGGCAACCTTCCCAAGGGTACCCTTGCATCCTTGCCTTCTCGGCCCATCATTGGCCGCTTTCTTTGGCAGCGGCCCGCTCGAAGAGCTTCGAAATGGGCGTCTAAGGCCCTTGCATCCTTATCGCGCATCCTTACTATACGGGTTGACTGTACCCCCTGGTGCGCGTCGCCAAGCTGGGGGGGAGGCGGGTCTTGAGGGAGAGCGAGCTCTGAGGTTTTTGTCCCCGCCGTGCTCGATTTTTTTCTCCGCCGCGTTCGCGCTCTACCGCGAGGCGCCTGCTCCTCCGCCTCCTCTCAGGAGGGGACAAAACACACACACAGACACACACACACACACTCACACACACACACACACACACACTTACACACTTACACACTTACACACACCGGCACAGTTGTTTGCCGATTCCCAGGGAAATAGGGGCAGCTATGGGAATTTGTGAGGAAGACGATAACCCCGAAGATAGGGGGAATCCTGGGATTTGTATGTATTTCTGTGTGTGTGCCTTTGGGTTCCCCTATCGGGGAGCGGCGCGCGGGATGCAGATCTCGTGCTGGGCCCGTGGGCTCGCCGTCGGCGTTGTTGAGTCCCTCTACAGTAGGAATATTCAATCATAGACAAACAAATAGCCTGGGGACTATTGTTTTGGGTTTTTTTGTTTGTGGCAATCGTTTTGGACATGTTTCGAATATGTTACAACTGCTCGTGGGTTTCTTCTGTGTTTAAACATGTTTCACATCTGGCTATGTTTCGTCCAAAATCCGCCTGTAGGAGGACACGCCCGACCTAACGGTCTTGACGCGAACGTTGTCCATGTGAGAAGGGAGGCCGCCTGCCCAACAGCGGCTGCTGTCTTTTTCGGGTCGCCCGTGCTGTTCGGCATCGTGGCCATTTCGGGCTTCCAAATCTGCCTCTTGTGACCCTCTCTGTCTCTCCCTCTCTCGCTCTCTCTCCCCATGTTTTGTTGTCTCCTCTCTTCTTCCTGCTCCTCCCCCTGCTCCTCCTCCTCCTCCTGCTCTTCCGCCTCCTTCTCCTCCTCCATCCTCCTCCTCCTCCTCCTCCTCCTCCTCGTCCTCCTTGTCTCTCTCTCTCTCTCTCTCTTTTTCTCTCTCTCTCTCTCTCTCTCTCTTTTTTTTTTGTCTCTCTCTCTCTCTCTCTCTTTCTACATTTGCATCTCAATCTGTCGCGCGTTGTTTTGATCGCTTTGGCTCCGCGGCATGCATGCCCAGGTCTCCGCCGAGATGATCTGTTCAATCGTGGCGTGTTTCCTTCATTCTGGCCTCCGGGGCCTGTTATCGGGCCCTGGGACCAAGACACGGGGATCCAGGACGGACAACTCCCCCCCGGAAACCAAGCCGTTGGGACCTTTGGAGCGGCGGACTGAAAGATTCGTACCGCCGGATGTCAGTGTGCTGAGGTTCTCGCAGCTTCTTCCGCGGCTCGGGGCGGCCGCCCGCGGCTCAGAGGCAAGCTTCTGGCGGCTCCAGGCGGTTCTAGGTGGCTCTCGGCGGCGTTCGGTGTTTCTCGGCAGTTCTCGGCGGTTCTCTCGGAGGCTTTCTCGGAGGTTCTCAGCGGTTTGGGTTGCTTCACTGAGGTTGTCTTTGGCTTTCACATATTTTTGGCGGTCTGCGGAGGATCTCGGCAGGGGGGGGGAGGGGGTAGGAGCAGCAGAGGCAGCAATTGAAGGGGGCGCAGAGAGAGGCAGAACGAGGGGGAGGTGTGTCCAGGCGCCTGAAGAGGAGTAGGAGAAGGAGGAGGACGAGGAGGAGGAGGAGGAAGAAACATATAATAATAAAAATTGTAATAATAATAATAGTAATAATAATAATAAAATAAAATAGAATAAGTAAATAAATAAATAAATAAATCACAACAATACTAATATTAATAATACTACTACTACTACTACTACTACTACTAATAATAATAATACTAATATTAATAATACTAATAATAATACACATAAGGAGGGGAAGGGGGAGGGGGGGGGCGGGAGGCGAAGAAGAAGAAGAAAAAGAAGAAGAAGGAGAAGAAACGGCGTGGAGACTTCAGGGTCCACAAGCAGCGAGGAGGAGTCAGACGGAGTGCGCAGCCTGCCCTGCCGTTGTGCCTGGCGGCCCCGACGGGGAAGGGTTCTTGTCACCGGGCAGGGGTTTTTGATTGTCTCGCAAGATGGGCTCTCGTCAGGGGCAACGTCGGGGGGGATTGGCATAGGGGGGGACGCATCAACCCCCAATCGTTCATTCATTGCTGGCAGGGGCCCAATTGCCCAAACCTGCCCAGGAACACGCGGATTCATTACTGGGTGCCTACCTCCGATCTATTGGCGACGTATCGCCGATTCCAGGTGGATGTGTCCCCCCCTACGCCAGTCCCTCTTTATCGTTGCCGCTCATCTCGGATACGGTCGGACCGAGGTAGAAGATTGAGGTCGGCTCGGGGAGGGTACCCTAATGTTCTTCAAGTTTGTGGGATGTTCGTCTGCATCATGGGGGAGGGTACCCTCGAGTGATTGAGTGATTGTGTGGTTTAGGGTGTTTGGGCCAGCTGAGGGTCGCATGTTCTTGAAAGAGGCTCTTCTGCCCTAGGTCCGATCGTATGCCAGCCCCCCCCTATCGTGGCCGCTAATCCCGCCGCGTTGCTTCCGAGGCGCGAGGCGGTCTGAGGAGGAGGCGGTCTGAGGAGAAGGAGGCGGAGGCGAAGGAGGAGGAGGAGGCGGAGGAGGAGGAGGAGGCGGAGGAGGACGAGGAGGAGGAGGAGGAAGAGGAAAGAGAGGAGGAGTAGGGAGAGGAAGGGGGAAGGGGGAGGGGGAGGGGAGGAGGAGGTTCAGACGACACAGCCGAGTTGCCGAAAGTACGCATAATGATCGAGCAGGAGAGGACGAAGGAGGGGCAGGATGAAGAAAAGAGAGGAGGAGGAGGAGGAGGTAGGAGGAGGAGAGAGGAAGCATGAGGACGTGAAGAACGATAGTTTATTTTAAGATAAGGATGCTACTGTTTTTCAGATGGAGGAGGAGGAGAGGAAGCAGGAGCAGGCAGGAGAGAGGAGGAGAGAGGAGGAGGAGGAGGAGGAGGGAGGAGGAGGAGGGAGAGAGTAGAAGAGGGAGAGGAGAGGAGGAGGCAGAGGAGGGAGGAGAGAAGAGGGAGGAGGAGGAGGGAGAGGGAAGGGAGGGAGGAGGGAGGGAGTGAGGGGGGAGGGGAGGAGTAGGAAGTAGGAGGAGGAGGAGGAGATGAGGAGAATGAGGAGGGAGAGGTAGGAGAGGAAGGAGGGAGGGAGGAGCAGGAGGAGGAGATAGAGGATGACGAGGAAGGCGACAGACGACACGAGGACGACGAAAGGAGGTGGATGAGAGAGGAGGGAGTGAGGAGGGGAGGGGAGGGAGGGAGGAGGTAGGGAGGGAGCGAGGGGAAGGGAGGGAGGGAGGGAAGGGAGGAAAGAGGAGGAGGAGGAGGAGGAGAGGAGGCGGAGGAGAGGAGGAGGAGGATGGAGGAGGGGGAAAGAAGGAGGGAGGAGGGAAGGTGGGGAGGGAGGAGGAGGAGGGTGAGGAGGAGGGGAGGAGGGGAGGAGGAGGAGGGAGAAGGAGGAAGGAGGGAGAGGAGGAGAAGGAGGAGAGGAGGGGGAGTGGGAGAGAGCGGAGAAGAGGAGGAGGAGGAAATGGAGGAGGAGAGGAGGAGAGAAAGAGAGGAAGAGGAGGAGGAGGAGAGGAGAGGAGGAGGAGAGGAGAGAGGAGCAAGGAGGAGGAGGAGGAGGAGGAGGGAGGAGGCAGGAGGAGGAGGCGCAGTGGCCCAGAGGACGCGCCGCGCCGGCGCCCGCAGGCGCAGTGGTCGCTAACGCGGCTCCACGATCGGGCGGCGCCCGGCTTCGACTCCGAGGCCCGTCGAGCGTCGGGCCGAAGGCTTCTCGGCCCTCCTCCTCCTCCTCCTCCTCCTCCTCCTCCTCCTCCTCCTCCTCTTCCTCCTCCTGCTCCGGCTTCCGTCGAGCTCGTCCTCCTCCTCGTCTCCTGCTTTGTTTTGTTTTCTTTTCTCCCACCTGTGTCTGTCTTTTTCCGTTCGTTCTTGTTTTTTTCTATTAGTCTTTTTTTCCTTTTTCTTTTCCTTTTTGCTTTTTCTTCTTTGTTCTCCTTTTTGTTTCTGTACTTGGTTGTTCTATGTAATATGTTCTATTTTTTTTCTTCTTTTCATCTCTTTTTTTTTTCTTTTTTTCTCTCCTGTTTCCTCCTGCTTCCTCCTGCTCCTCCTCCTCCTCCTCCTCCTCCTCCTCCTCCTCCTCCTCGGCTCGGACGAGGCTCGGACGAGGACCCGGAGGTCGAACGCGTTCAAAAAGCAGGACTCGGAGGAGGAAAAGGTACCCACACCGCTGCCCTTGCCTCGCTTTCCCCTTTGGGGGGGGGCTCCTGGGCGGCCCTCGTCGCCGCTGGGTTCGCCTCGAAGTTCTTGTTAGAAGGCACCCTGGGAGAGGTCCGGGGAGTAGCGGTATCGGTACCTTTTGGTTTCCCCAAAGATGGAGGTTTGTCATTGTTGTCGGCGTCTGGAGGCCCTCGCCAGACCCCCGGACTGTAAAACAACTCGGGATCGAAAAACGGCCCTGGGGAAAGGGTCGGGACTTCTGGGGACCCCGCATTGAAAAAATCACGATGTCGGATCTCTGCGGATGAATCCTTTCCAGGGCATTCCGGAACGTTCTGAGAGCGTTCCGGGACGCTCTGAGAAGGCCGCGGCGCCCGATACATCGTCCAGAGCCGCCAGATCTCAGAGATTCTCAGAGATTTCTCGTTCAGGTTTCGTCGTACGTTTTCGAAGAAAAAGAAGATACCGATACATGCCGCTCGTTGGAAGTAGGTATTTGTACATTCCCCAGATCCCAATCTGCTTCAAGCACCTTCCTACTTCAGGCAACGCTGTGTGCTTGCTGCTTTTTGTGGTTCTCCCAGCGGGCCCGAACCCAATCGGCTTAATCCGCATTATTACTTCATGTTTTTACCTACTTCTTCCGACCAGAGGCGTCCGTGAAGGAATGTTTCAGACCCTTGAGAATTTCTCATCAGATGGGGGCGGCCGTGATATCCACGGTCAAGCCTCAGTTGGTGTTCCTCCAGCTTTCAGGCTCTGTGCTACTTCTTCAGGGGTTCCTTGGTCGATGCCCTCACCGTACAGCTGTTCGTCCTGGAGAGATCTCGTCACCAGAAGTGTCTCTTGGAGAGGTCTGGGGATTAGCGGTATCGGTACTTTGTTGTCCCTCGCTGGCTTGCCTCCCTTCTTGGAGGTCTTGTGTCGTGTCTTTCCTTCAGCTGGGCCTACAACAACACGCACGGTGCTGGCCGACCGAATCATCTAGGTAGGGAGAGGTTCCGATACAGCTGCTTTTCCGTCGTCGCCATTGCTGGATTCGCTTTGGAATCTTGGTCAGAACGCGCCATGGGGAGAATCCTGTAGAGCAGCAGTGTCGGCACCTGGGTGTCCTCCCAGGTGACGGGTTTTGTATCAATTTGCATTTGCATGCCGCGCCACGTCTGGGCCAAGCGAGGGCACACAAGAAGCGCGGACAAGAACGAGCGAGCGTGGAGGAACGGGAGGAGGTTCTCTTCCCAGACCCCGTCGCGTCGAAGAACAAGTGCGAAGAACGGTCTTTGCCCATTTCGCAGGTTCGGGGGGCCCGTTCCCAGGCGCCGGGACCTCCAACACGATTCGGGGTCAAGAGCCAGTCCCGTGGAGGGGGCGGAGATTGCCAGAGGCTCGCGTCGTGAATCAGATCGCAGCGTCGGAGGTGTGGGTCCCTGACTCCACCCTGGAGGGATTCGTTAGTTCGAACACTTGAGACTCGGGCGTCGGATTCCGAGTCGCGCCGAGCGATCTCGCCAGGTGTTGTGCCTCCTGGCCCCCTCGCAGGCGGGCCCGGGTCGAGATGCCTCAGAGTGGTGTGGGCGAGAACTCCATCAGCAGTGCTTCCCCATGTGCTGTTTGCGCGCTGTTGGATCTCGGGTACGGTCGGGAGCTTCGGCTCAGCGAGCCGCACCACCAGCTCTGGCCCACCACGCTTCGGAGCGGCACGCTGTCCACGCTCCAGTCCCCGAGCGTCCATTTCCCGAGCCGTTGCCAGCCCCCCCCCTCTCCGGAGCGGAGCGACGCGCCATCCGCTCGCAGGGCACAGCGTGTCGCCGGGGCCGACGCCTCAACCGTGGGAGTAAGAATCCCGGGCCGTCTTCTCTGACAGCTTCGGGTCCGCAGTCGTCCCGAACCGAACGGCCGCCCTGGGAGCGAGCATCGGCCCCATGGGGCCTCCGTTCGAGGGACACCGCAGCGGCCGGCGTGCCCTGTGCGTGGGCCTCGGGGGGGGCGCCCGCGGCGAAGAGCACTCCCCGGGGAGATTGCGGCCCGGGTCCGCGGAGCCGTGCGTCCGCCTCGAGGCCCTCGTCCTCGGCGTTCTCGCCCGTGCCATCCTCGCAGGTTGTCCTGCGATGCCCTCTTCCTTCACCCTCCCCAGTGGTCGGCCTCCTCTTTCTCCAGCTCCTCCCCAATTATCTTCGACGTAGTCAACCTCTTGCTCCATCTGATGGCGACGACTACGTCGACGTTCACGACGACGACCAGGACCGCGACCACGACCACGACCACGACTTGGAGGGCCCAGCCTACCTACTTCTCACACGCCAGTAAATCTGGCCAAGAAGAAGATCGCTCTTACGTTCTAGCCACAAGCGTATACGCACACATTGAGTGTTGTTACGTCTACATGCGCATTCGGGTGGATACGTCTCTAGAAGAAGCGGCCGTTGCGTTCGTCGCAGTAGACGGGGGGGCAGGGTAGACCCATCTTCGGTATGCTCCTGTTCTACTTTGTTCATCCTAGATATTCCCTGAACGCTTTTACTGTTATTCATTCGGCGTCTTGAAAAACAATAGTTTAAAATGAGTTCTCAGGCCCCAGCAAACATACACAACGCTAAAACAAACGATTCGTTGATGTTGTATTTTTCCGCCACGCTTTCTTGCGACGTCAGAGCATCCGGTTGCATTGTCGAACATTGCCGTCGACGACTCCCTCAGTTCATTCTCCTTGCGTCTGGTCATCCCAATACTCTAGAGTATCATTGCTGTGTTTTCCTTTTGCTCTGATCCAGCCGTCGCTGCCAGCTGGTCGCGGGGCCTCCAGGCCTGCCTCGCGCCGGTGGTAGACCCATACGGTGTGGTGACCATACCGTGTGGGTGAGTCAATGTGGTTTCGAGGTTACTGCGCAGTTTTGAGACTTGAGTCGTTTTACGAGGACCTCTCGGGCGACTGGTGCCTCCAGGGTTAAGTCGGGTCTGTCCCTCTACAGGGGGAATATTCAAAAATAGTAAAACAATAGTCAGGATGTTTTTATTTTTTCGTCCAAAGTCGGCCTCTAGGGGGACAGGCCGACTTAACTCCAGGGTTCCAAAACCGTGCGGCGACGGACCGCGCGGCGGCAAGGTCTCTTGCGCCGTCCGTCGCCAGAAGTTCCGGGCCCACGACGTTTCTGACAGCCCCAGGCCCGAAGACCGGGCCTGGAGGCCGAAGCATCGGGAGGAGTCCTGAAGTCTGGGGGGGGGGGGGGGGCGCCCGTGCCTGGGCGAGTCCGGGAACGCTCCTGACGGCTGCGCGGTGCGCACGGACGCATGGGCAGGTGGGTCGCAGACGTGCCCGGCGGATAGCGCAATGGCGCAGGGCACATCTGGAGGACCAGGCGCTGAGATGTTTTTCGTCTGAAGGTGGCGAGGCAGGTGCTCGAGGGGTATGACCGTGGGCCCGCAATGCTCGGTATCGTCTAACCAATCCCCATCCCAATCCCCTTCGAGACCCCACCAAATTACCCCCCAGTTGGGGATACACCGTTCGAAACCCGGAGGGAACGACCTATATCCCAATCTAGGGGGGGTAAATCGGCCAGTGGTGCCCATGCCACACCGCTGGGAATGGGAATCGGTTAAACGAAACTCGGAGGCAGGTGCGGGAGGGTTATGACCGTGGGCCCGCAGTGCAGTTCTCTCTGGCCGATCCTGTCCTTCGAGCGGCGGCGTCACTGCGCGCGAGCGCGGGAACCGGGCAGGCCGCCCAGCTCTTCCCGAGATGCCTCGAGGACCACAGCGGCTTCGAGGACTTCCGCTTCGCTCCCGGCGCCGTGAGGTTCTCAGCGCCGCCGCCGCGCGCGACAGCGGCAGTCGTCGACGACCGCCGTTCCGCGATCGAGTTTCGAAGGTCGAGGATTTCGGATCGAGGTGACGTCACCGCCGCCACGTTCGCCGCGGTGGAGGTGGTCGCCGCCGCCGCTCTCGCCGCCGCCGCTCTCGCTGCCGCCTTCGTCGCCGATTCCGCTGTCGTCGTCGTGGTCACCGTTGGCGTAGTCGGCATCGTTGCAGTCGTCGTCGTTCGTCGTCGTCGTCGTCGGCGGCGGCGCCGTCGCCGTTCTACGATTGACGGTCGAGGTTCGAAGGGTCGAGATTCGAGGATCGAGGGTTAGCGTGCTGGGCCTTTTCTGGACCTCTGGGGTCGCCCTCGCCGCCACGGCCGGATCCTTAGAGTTCTCTTCTGCTTGCGCTCCTGGAGAGCTCCAGAGCAGGGGTCGCTCGCCGTCGGCATCGTCGTCGTCGTTTCTGCTCGTCGAGGCCGTCGAGATCGTCGTCGTCATGATCGTCGTCGTCGCCGAGGGACCAGGCGGGGAATGGGAGGCCGTCCCACGGAGAGGCCACGGACCGATCCTGCGGCCGCCTGCTCCTCCGGAGAAGGGGGGCAGCCGCAGCAGCGGCAGAGGGGGCAGGGATCCGCAGGAGGATGGGGCAGCGGCGGGATCCAGGAGCAGCGGCAGCAGCGGGAGGAGCGGGGGCAGCAGCAGGAGGAGGCCTCTTCGTGCGCTCGCGGGCCGTGCGCCGTCGTGCGCGCTCGCCTCTTGATGCCCGGGGCCTCGTCGTCCACTGCTCGGACTCGCGGCCACCTCGTCGCCCTTCGTTTCTCCTCCATGCCGTCCTCATGCCCTCGGCGTCCTTGGTTCAGGAGCGAAGAAAGAACGTACTCGCACCGGAAGCCACGTTGGCTCCGAGAGTACGTGTGGTCTCGCGGACGGCGGGGCGTTTAGGAGGTAAAAAACACACAGACATAATTAATCGTCGATTCCCCCGAAAATATGGGAGAGTATGGGAAGTGGGGGGGAAGACAAACACCCAGAAAATATGGGAAAATCTAGGAATCTGGTGATGTGTGTCTATCTATCCGTGTGTCCCAGGGCCCCTTCAGGCGTATCGTTCCCCACATCGCTAGTTGTTCACACCGTCCGTGATACCTGCGTTTGGTAATAAGCGTGGGGGCGGGGGGGCGCCACTCGGGCCGGACGAAAGGGGGGGATTGGGAAAGGGGGGGTTACGAAATTTGCTGCATGCAGCTGGTTTCGGCCCCACCGAGGGGCCCATTCCTCGATACATAGCCGCCTCTGGCGCCGGGAGGCGCCGGGAAAATCAGCTACGTGAGCTGATTCTCACCCCCCCCCTTTGCTATCCCCCCCCTTTCGCCCGACCCGAGCCACCCCCGCCGTCGGCCCCAAACCGACTCCCGTCGCGGGCACACACTGCCTCGTGGCGGCGACCTCGGTCGGCCCCCGCCACCCACCGTCAGAACCGGACCCCCAGCCCCACGGGCGCTGACAGGTTGACGTACAGACCCCCGCTGGGAGGGGCCCCATCCACGCTGACTGGCAACCGCAGAGCTAAGTCTGCCTTCGTCGTCTTGCTCATAGTCTTGATCCTCTCCCCAGTCCTCATTTTATCTTTCTTGCCGCCGTCTTAGCACCATAAACGACTGGTATGACAAGCACCCCAGTTTCCCTGTGATCTTTTTCATATGGACAGGAAGAGGTGGAGGAGAGGGAATGGCGAGGAGGTGGTGAGGTTCGAGGGCAAGGTAACTACGAGGACATTCACAGATAACACATGATATCAACTTCCGCCCCTCAACCTGGAAAGGCCCACAGACGGAAAGTGGCCGAACGCGCCCAACCTGCATCCAGTCTGAAGTTGTTATGCCACCACCGTCGTCCTCCTCGTCCTCCTCGTCGTCGTCGTTCTCCTCGTCCTCTTCGTCGTCGTCGTTCTCTTCGTCCTCTGCTTCGCCAGCTTCTTCGTTCCTTTCGCCATCCTCGTCCTCCCCCGCGTGCTTATCCGACGCCTCCTTCTCCTCCACCCTCCTCCCTTCTTCCTCTCCTCGTCAGTCCTCTCCTCGCCGCCGTTTCCCTCGGAGTGCCCCTCGTCGCCGCTTTCCTCCTCCTCCTCCTCCTCCTCCTCCTCCTCCTCCTATCCTTATTCCTTATTAGAATATACTCCTACTCCCCCCTCAGGCCGGCCATTAGGGGCCGCATCCGGGGGGTCCCATCCTAACCTGTAAAAAACAATATAAAATCAACATTTTCTTATTTTTTCCTCTCGACATGGACGTCCTGTCGTCCACGGCGATAATCCATTGCAAAAAATACCACAAAGAGCACACGCGCGCGTTCATGTCAGAATCCTACCGAACACAGTGTGTTTGCAAGCATTTCAACATAAAAACATCAAAAACCCAATGCTTTTTCACAAAAATTGTACAAATTTCCCGCCCGGGCTCTCTTGCTGAAATCATAGGAAAACCATAGGAATCTTAAGAGTTCTGTCAAATCCAGCGATTTCACGTCATCGCGCGGTGCACTCGCGATGCTCTGTCATGCACCCAGGCCGCGAATCCTGTGCAAAAAATACCACAAAGAGCACACTCGCGCGTTCATGTCAGAATCCTACCGAACACCGTGTGTTTGCAAGCATTTCAACATAAAAACATCAAAAACCCAATGCTTTTTTCACAAAAATGCTGTGGGGTGTCCTGTCAGACCGTCGGGCTTCCTCCGGCCACCTCTGGCTTCCTGCGGTGTACCGGGCCATTCTCGACTCGTCTGGCAATGCGTGCGCGGCATTCAACACGCGCTCGCCAGTTCCCGTCGGCAACCGCCATCGCGGCCGCATCAGCTGTACCAAACCGGCTGGCCGGTGTGACTTCGGCCCCCAGTTGTGCCAGCTTTGCTTCTTATGTTGTGGGAGGGCGGGTGGGACTGGGCATGCCATGCTTGACTCGCTCGAGCTGGCTAGCTTGACTCCTACTCCTACTCCTACTCCTACTCCTACTCCTGTTCCTCCTCCTCCTCGCCCTTACCCATCGCGCCCGTCCTGCCCCTCGTCCTGATCCTCGTCCTCCTCCTCCTCCTCCTCCATCCGCAACCCCTTTGGCTCAAGCCACATCAGCTCGAGAGCAGCGCCTCCCGCGTCGCGCGCTCGGGTCGCCCCAATGTCTCCGCATGGTGCTTGAGGGGCCCGCACGTGGGCCAAGCTGCCGGCGGCGGTGACGAGGGGCGTTGCCTCGAAGCATCCTTGTCTGACACTGGTGCCGCGCTCGCAGGCGGTAGCTAAAGTAGGCGCGACACGAGTGGCAACTCTCCTCTGGTTTCTGAGATGGAAAGTGTGTCACAGGTTCCTCATCTGGGTCCTCTCTGTTCCGGATCCAGAGGGAGGTCGCGTTCATTTTGCGAGCGTCAAGGTCAGCACGATGCAAGGCGATCAAAAATTCCAGCAGCGGTTGCTTTGGGCCAGGACCGCTTTTGCGGGCGTGGGAAGAGGCATGGGCGACAGCTTGCAGCAGCTCGTTTCCCAAGCTCAGCAGTGTCTGGCTTGAGGCGAAGACTAACTCCCAGGTTCTAATCGCCAACGCCAGACCCAACAGAGATGAGATCATGGACAACTCGTACGACCAGCAAGCAGCCTGGTTGGCGCGACAGAGTGTTCGTCCCCTTTTGCCGCGTGCTTCATCAACCGCACCGAGTATCTCAGTCGTACTCTCATAAGCAAAGGGCGACTTCGGCCGTGGAAAGCCTTCGGTGTACCCATGGGAACACTGGTGGCAGTCCAATTGGCGAGGAGCTCTTGCGGCAAACGGGCGAGCAGGTCAGCGCACTACGAGGTCCGCTCGGGAGTAACGCCGACCCTTGGTTCACCCGCGGAGGCGAAGCCTTGTCAGCAAGCATTTCATTCAACGCCGAAGGAAATTTCAGTGGCCAAGCGGTCTATCCCGACAACGACGCAATGGGTACGCAGGGGCGCGTTCTGCTCAGCCTTCCCACTGGATCCCAAGTCTTGGAAACGTCAGGTGGTTACCCAATTGTCATTTCACCGTTTGTCATTGAGTTTAGTATTGCGCTCCATTTTGGCTGCGTCTGCTTGCTCTTTTGTCGCCTTCAGCGGTGTGCGTTCTCCCCGTGCTATCCTGGCACTGGTCTTCGGATGGTTCTTCAGCATATTGTGGCGGCCTTGTTTTGCGGAAGTGGGAAGTGCGATTGGTGGCGCGCGTGGTTTCATGTTACATGTTTGTGTGCGGCTATTCTCGACGTTTTTGTTTGTCGTGTTGGCAATCAGGGGTGAGCTCGGGCGCTGGAGGCGCTCATTCTCCCTTGTTTGAGCCAGGGGCTTTCGCTCGCAAAAGCGTGTAGTCGAAGTGCTCCGGTTTAGTGAAGCGTTGCTCTGACATCGTCTCGGTCCCGTAATCCTCCTCCTCCTCCTCCTGCTCTTTGGTGGCCTGCTTCTCCTCGCCGTCCTCGTCCCTCTCCTCCTCGGCCTCCCCCGGTGACGTTCGCTCCTCCTCGGCCTCCACCTCTGTGGCACCCCCGTCGCCGACAGGGCCGGCGGCGCCGACGCCGGCGGCAGCGCCGCGGGGCAGCGGGTGGCGTTCGAGGCACCGTACGCCTCGGCAGAGGGGGGGGGGGGCCCTGCTGCGCGTTGCTGGGCGCGCGGGGATGTATTCAATTCCTGTGGGGAAAAAGAGAGAGAGGAGGAGGAGGGAGGAGGGGGAGTCGGAGGAGGAGGAGGAAGAGGAGGAGGAGGGAGGGAGGAGTTAGGGAGGCGGGAGGGAGGTGGGAGGAGCTTTGCATTCCTGCGGGGGGCACGCGGGAGAGTGTGAGGGAGCAGGACTTGGACGAGGATCAGGAGGAGGAGGAGGAGGAGGAGGAGGAGGAGGGACCACAGTCAGAGCCGCCTGGAAGCCTTCACGATGCCCCCGAAATTTCCAAACTCTTCCCCTTCCCCTTCACCTTCCTCGTCCTCCTCCTCCTCCTCCTCTTCCTCCTCTTCCTAGTATTTCTCTGCAGGGTACTGACACTCCTCCGCCTCCCCCTCCTTATCCTACCCTCCCTCCTCTCCGCTTTCCATCACTTCCCTCGGCGCCAGGCGCTGATGCTTGCTTCTTCGATCACGTTGGCTCCTCAGCTTCAGGCAGCAGAGGGCCAGGAGCAACAATGGGAAACGTATTAAGCATACTCAGTGGCCATGTCAGATCGCTTACGCCAAAGTCAGGGCAGAGTACCCGCCTAAGACCACCGCTTGTTCAGGATACAACGCTGCGTTCAGTGCGGTTGCTGCCAATCCGCGCGACCACATTATATGTCTATGTATAGCCAGTTACGGTGAGCACAGGCTAACAGGGCCGCATTACAATGAGAGGTTCACCAGCCCTCATAACACGTCCAATTGGGACAGGAAGCTCCAGAGAAGCATCCCAACCCCTCCAAAGGAGAGGCTAAGGTACTGGACGAAATGAATTGCTTACCCCCAGGTTTCAAAAGCAACTATCTCCCCCTCCCTCCCTCCCAACCCCGCCCTCAAGGGGAGGCTAAGGTGCTGGACGACTTGTTCCCCCCGAGCTGTTTGTGTCAACGGGCCTCAAGAGCAACCCTCTCCCTCCCCCTCCCTCCCCCTCCCTCCCATACGATCGACCGGGGCGGGATATCATCATGTGGCCTCCTGGGGCCCCCCTGGAGCCTCCTGGAGCCCCCCTGGGACCTCCTTGGACCTCCTGGGGCCTCCTGGGGCCTCCTGGGTCGTGGTCGTGCGTTTTTGTTGACCTTGGCCACGTCTGAGCATCGAGGCTGCTGCGATCTCGTTGTCGTACGTGCCCCTCCCCCCCTCGAAACACCCGACGTCGTGAGGTTTGTTTTGCAGCGTCGACCACCAGAGGTCTGGGCCCTTCCCCTGGGATCGGTTTCTCGTCCCGAGTCGTGTTCTGACGGCCCCGAGGCGCGGCGAGGGCTTCCAGAGGCCGACGACGGCGTAAAACCTCCCGCCGTGATTTCTTCACAACGCGAGCGGCTCTGGGCCAACCCCTCCCGGATGACGGAAGACGGAGGACGGAGGACGGAGGACGGAGGACGGAAGAGGGAGGAGGGAGGAGGGAGGGGGGGAGGGAGGAGGCAGGAGGCAGGAGGCAGGAGGGAGGAGGGAGGGAGAGAGAAGAGAAAAGGAGAAAGAGGAGGAGAAGGATAATGATGATGATGATGATGATGATGATGATGATGATGATGATGATGATGATGATGATGATGATGATGATGATGATGATGATGAGCTGATGCTGATGCTGATGCTGATGCTGATGATGATGATGATCAGGAGGAGGAGGAGGAGGAGGAGGAGGAGGAGGAGGAAGAGGAGGAGGAGGAGGAGGAGGAGGAGGAGGAGGAGGAGGAGGAGGAGGAGGAGGAGGAGGAAGGAGGAGGAGGAGGAGGAGGGGGAGGAGGGCGAGGAGCTTGAGGAGGAGGACGATGGAGAAGGAGGGGAGGAGGAGGAGGAGGAGGAGAAGGAGGAGAAGGAGGAGAAAGGAGGGATGGGCTGCGGATGAGGGTGTGTGAGGCGGAAGCAGGAGAGGAGGAGGAGGAAGAAGAGGAGGAGGAGGAGGGGGAAGGAGGAGGAGGGGGAGGAGGAAGAGCGTTGGAGGAGGGGAGGAGGAGGACGACGAGGGCGTGGACGAGGACGAGGACGAGGACGAAGAGGATGAGGACGAGAAGGATGAGGAGAAGGAGGACGAGGAGGAGGAGGAGGAGAACGAGGAGGAGGAGGAGGAGGAGGAGGAGGAGGAGGAGGAGGAGCAGGAGTAGGAGGAGGCTGAGGAGAGGAGAGGAGGAGGGAGGAGGCAGGAGGCAGAAAGCAGGAGGGAGGAGGGAGGAGAGGGCTGGCGGGAGGAGGCAGGCGCTAGGAGAGTGGAGAGAGGAGGGAGGAGGGAGGACAGATGGGGGCAGGGGGTGGAGTGAGGGGATGGAGGGGAGATGGGAGAGGGGAGGGGTTGGAGGGAGGCGGGGAGGGCAGGAGGGAAGAGGACGCAGGACGGAAGAGGGCCCCTCCTGGTGCAGGGGTTCCGCCACGGGCGCGCGCGCCAGGCACAGCGGCGGCTGCTCGAGGCGCCAGACTTCGATTGGGGCGCGCTGGGCGACGGGCCGACGGCGCGGCGGCCGTACGTCGTGCAGGAGCTGCTAGAGGAGCGCCCCGCCCTTCGACGATGATGAGGCTGATGCTGATGCTGACAATGGTGATGCTGGTGATACTGATGATGATGATGATGATGATGATGATGATGATGATGCTGATGCTGATGCTGATGCTGATGTTGATGCTGATGCTGATGCTGCTGCTGCTGTTGCTGCTGATGCTGATGATGATGATGAGGAGGAGGAGGAGGAGGATGCTGATGATGATGCTGATGCTGATGATGATGGTGCTGCTGATGATGATGACGATGATGTTTGATGCTGATGCTGATGATTATGATGATGATGATGATGATGATGATGATGATGATGATGATGATGCTGATGCTGATGCTGATGCTGATGCTGATGAAGAAGAAGAAGACTACGAATAATAATAATAATAATCAGACAACAATAAGAATGATAATATGATGAGGAGGAAGAGGAGGAGGAGGAGGAGGAGGAGGAGAAGAGAGGCGGAGGAGGAGGAGGAGGAGTATGAGGAGAAGCTGAGGACGAGATGAGGAGGGAGATTGAGGAGGGAGGAGGAGAGGGGGGGGGGAGGAGGAGGAGGGGAAGAGAGACGAGGAGGAGGAGGAGAGATGAAGGAGGAGGAGGAATGGGGAGGAGCGAGAGGGGAGAGAGGAGGAGGAGGAGTGAGGAGCGAGGCAGGAGGAGGGCGGAGGGGAGAGAGGAGAGGAGGAGGAGGAGGAGGGGAGGAGGAGGAGGAGGAGGAAGGAGGGGAGGAAGGAGGAGGCGGAGGAGGAGTGTTGGAGGAGGAGGGAGGAGGAGGAGGAGTGAGGAGGAGAAAGAAGGAGAGGGGGGGGGGCGGAGGAGGAGGGGAGAGGAGGCGCGACGGAGGAGGAGGAGGAGGAGGAGGAGGAGGGGAGGAGGAGGAGGAAGGAGGAAAGCGGAGAGAGGGAGGGGAGGAGGAGGAGGAGGAGGAGGGGAGGGGGGAGGAGGAGGAGGGTGAGAGTGAGGAGGAGGGAGGAGTGAGGAGGAGAGACGGCACGGAGGAGGAATAAGGGAGGGAGGGAGGTAGGGAGGGGGAGTGAGGGAGGAGGAGGAGGAGGAGTAGGAGGAACGAGGACGAGGGGAGGGAGAGGAGGGAGAGGAGGAGAGGATGGAGAGGATTAAAAAGATTAGGAGGCGGATGAGGAGGAAATGGAGGAGGAGGGAGAAGGCGAAGGAGGAGGGGAGGATGCGGCGGGCGGCGACGGAGGAGGACAGGAGGGGGATGAGGAGGGGAGGAAGGGGGAGGAGGAGGGGGAGAGAGGAGGAGGAGGAGGAGGAGGAGGAGGAGGGGAGGATTGAGGAGGAAGGAGGAGGAGGAGGAGGAGGAGGAGTAGGGGGAGAGCAGTTGGCCTTCTCCTCCCGTCGCCTCCGGCCGCCTCGTCTCCCTGCTCGCCACTTCCACCCTCCTCCCGGGGGCGGCCCCCGAGATCCTGGCGTCTCCATTGGGCGGCCAAGAGGAGGGTGATGGCTGGGGGTCGGGTGGATGTCATTGCGGGGGCCACGTGATCCTCCCAGAGCTCATGGCGCTTCTGCTTATCTTAGTGCGTCCCCTGCCCGCCCCCCCTCGCCGCGCACATGCCTCGGCCCATGCTCTGCGGCCCCCCCCTCTTGGATGCGCACCTCTTGGACGCTCCCGATTCTTCGTCTCCCGGCCCTCCTAGACGCATCCTTCGGCTCGCCCGCCTCGTTCTGCGGCAGTGCGGGGGGGCGCGGGCTCCGAGCTTCCCAGCCCCCGAGGGGCGCAGAGGCCACGCTTACCGGGGGCGACCAAGAGGGGGGTGATGAGACGAAGCCGGAGGACAAATCGAGAATCGCCGAGACCTGGCGGCTCTGGAGGAGGATGCCTCGGGCACCGCGCCCTTCTCAGAGGGTTCCGGAACGCGCTGAGAACGTTCCGGAACGCCCTAGAACGGATTTATCCTCGTCCCAGCCTTGCCCAGGGTGATGCTTGGGAACGAATTCATCCTCGTCCCAGCCTTGTCCGAGGGTGATGATTGAGAATGGATTTACCCTCGTCCCAGCCCCGTCCGAGGGTGAGGATTGGGAGCGGATTTGCCCTCGTCCCAGCCGCGTCCGAGGGCCCTGAGATCCGACGTTGCAAAAAAATGCAGCATCGCCCGCAATCACGACCAGAGCACCTGCCCCCATCTTTCTGCGTGATGTTTCGAGCAGGATCGATCTGCGAGGGTCCCCGGGCCCGACAACAACGGGAAAACGCCCAGCTCCAAAAAATGGGGACGCCAGGATCTCAAGGATTTGGAGGGATATCATGGTCTGGTCCTCCTCCTCCTCCTCCTGCTCCTCCTCCTCCTCCTTTTCCCCCTCTCCGTTCCCCTCCGCCTCCTCCTCCTCCTCCTCCTCCTCCTCCTCCTCCTCCTCCTGCCTCCTCCTCCTCCCCCTCCTCCTCCTCCTTCTCCTCCGCCTCCTCCTCCTCCTCCTCCCCTCCTCCCCACCCCTCCCACCTTCACATAATAAATTCAGTCATCTCCTCCTCCTCCCCTCTCCTCTCTCATCATCATTCATCATATCATCATCTGCATTCTCATCACAATCATGCATCACATCATCATCACCACCATCACCATCACCATCCTCTCAGCATCCTCAATCATCATCATCCTCATGATCATCAAATATAATTATCAGTCGTGACGCTCCTTCTCCTGAACTTCAATCCTCCTCCTCCTCCTCCTCCTCTTCCTCATCCTCATCCTCCGCCTATTTCCTCCTCCTCCTCCTACCTCCCCTCATCCCCCCCCCCCTCCTCTCTCCTCCTCCTCTTCCCACTCCCCTACTCCTTCTCCTCCTCCTTCTCCTCCATCTCCTCCACCTCCTCCTCCTCCTCCTCCTCCTCCCCTATCCTCCTACTCCTCCTCTTTCTCCTTCTTCTCATGCCGCCTGGCATTGGCAGTGGCCGCAAACAAATATGATGGCCCCCCCAAACCCCTTGTGCCCCTTGTGCCCTCCTCCTGCTCCTCCGCCTTCTCCGTTTCCTCCTCCTCCTCCTCCTCCTTTCCGCGCCCTACGGTTCCCCCTCCTGGCAGCCCAGTGGCAAGGTTCGTTCCCCTCCTGTTTTTCCTCCGCCTCTGGTCTTCCCTTCGCTCGGACGTGCTCTGTTTTGTCGGCCAGGACCATCGAGGAGCATCTTTGTTCACCTCGCGGAAAAATTCACGCACGAAGCCGAACACAAAATCACAGGGAAGGGACGCCCGAGCGATGGCGAGTGGTGAGGCTTCGAGGCTACGGCCTACGCGCAGAAACAGCCGCTTAGTAGCAAGGCTTCTCTCCAGTTCCTCCGTCGCCTCTGGTAAAGCTTAAGGCTGCGCGCGGACAGCGCCTCCCCCCCCCAAAGCAGTCCCTTCTGGCCCCAAGAGGCCCCAAGAGCTCCACGGGGCGGCCTCAACACCCTGGCGCCACCTCCGGCGGCGCCTGCCCCAGGGTTGGGGTGCTGAGAGCGCCCCAGACTGATCGGGGGGCCTGTTGAGGCCCGTTGGGATCACTCTAAGGGGGCGGAAGCATTTTGTGCACAACCCGAAGCCTTGCCATCCGCGTCTCCCCCTCCCTCCCTCTCCAGATTTCGCGGCCTCTGGTGTGTGTGTGTGTGGCTGTGTGTGTGCTTGTGTGTGTGCTTGTGTGTGTTTGTGTGCCTATGTGTGCGTTGATCGTTCGCCATGAGAGTGGCCTTTCTCCGGAGTTACCTTTGGGTACGGGCGCACCGAGGTCCCGAGATGATTGAGCGCGATGCGGTAACAGCGGCTTGCGCGCTCCAGTTGGGCCGCCCCGCGCCTCCCGAAAGTTTGGCACCAAAGTCAGGAGGGACAAATAGACACAGATACATCGAAACGTCGATTCCCCAGAAGATGTGAGGGGAAGACGGAACTCCAGTATTTATATAGAGAGATCGACAACATATGAGGGGTCGTGGGATGTCTGTCTCCTTGTGTCCCTGGGCCCTTTCATAAGGGCCCCTCTTGCCTCAGGGCCACCTCTTGCGCGCAGCAGAGGTGGGGAGGCAGTGACTCGGCGGCGAGGCCCCGGGGGGGGAGTGTCGGAGCGAGGGCAGGCCTGCTCGGAAGCGTCGGAGGGCCTGGGGCAGCCCGCGAAGACTTTTACAGTCAACCCGCACAGGTTTCAGTCGGGCGCGCGCCCCTCTACAGGGGGGATATTCGAAAGTAGTTTAAATAGAGTTTGGGGACGATGTTTGACATTTTGTTTTGAATATGGTTTGTTTGTTGTTGTATCTTTTCTTCGGAATCCGCCTGTAGGGGGACATGCCCGACCTAAGCACAGTTAGGATGAGCGAATTTCCAAGGTGACCTGGTCATCGTTCCCCGTCTGCCCATCCTTGGCCGATGTCGCTGGCCGCGTCCCTCTCGCAAAGTGTCGTCATGGCCTTCCAAGGCCCTTGTGCATCCTTGTCGCGCGTCCTGCTAATACGGGCTGGCTGTAAGCTCTCGCCAGAGACACAGACAACTTCCCAGAAGGCGCGAGGGCCTCTGAGAAGCCGCCAACAGAACATCTGGACCATCTTGGAGCATCGTGGACCATCTTGAGAGAAAAAAACACGCACGAGACCAAACAGTGCACGGGGAATGGACGCCCGAGCGGTGGCAGGTGACCTAGGCCTCCCAGATGGGGTCGGAGGATTTCACCGCATCGCCGATGCATCGCCGATGCGGCTCGATGCGGAGCCCGATGTTCTCCACGCCGACGTCGCGGATGCGCTGCCGACGTCGCCGATGCGCCGCCGACGTCGCCGATGCGCCGCCGACGTCGCCGAGACATCGGCGATGCATCGCCGACGCATCGGCGATGCACTGGCGATGCTGCGCGATCCTCCGACCCCATCTGCCCGGACCCATCTAGGAGGCCTCTAGATGAGCAGAGAGCGACAAGCCCGGGAAGCTGCATACACCTGCGGCTTGGGCGTTGCGTGATGATGGGGGTCACACGCAGGGGGGGTGGCGAGGGTGGTCCGAAAAAGGTACCCAAACAGTACTTAAACGAGCCTCCAGGGTCTCCGGAAGGGCCCTGTATGACCCCCCCATTAAGCCACGCCCAAGCGGCGCTCCAGACAGGGCATTGCCCTCGCGGGGTCGAAGAAGGAGTTGGTCATTTACTTTGCCTCGGCGGGCGGCGGCGGCGGAAGAGCCTTCCGAGAAGGCCGAAGGCGCCCGAGACATCCTCCAGAGCCGCCGGACCTCAGAGGCACGGCCAAGGGCAAGTCCAAGGAAGTGGCGGCGAACCTCGTGGACATCGAGTACATCGGGGACTGAGCGAGTGGGCTTCCGAGGGTGCCTACGAACCGCGCGGTCGGGCGCGCAGAGCCCGGTTGTGTGGTCAGTGGGGAACAAATCCCCGCCCGATGTTATCCTCGTCCAGGTCCCGTCGTAATGGAGCGAACCCGATACAGTCGGACCGAGGTCCGAGATCGAGGTCGGCTCGGGGAGGGCACCCTAAGTGGTTTTCGTGGCTGTTGGGTGTTCTCGTGCGCCTTGCCACCTCGCAGGCTGACCCTGTTCGTGTCCCGCCGCAGGCGATGGCATAGCCTAAATCGGCATCCAGGCGCAAGTCCACTGCCCTCCAGCCCTTTCGCTCCTGCTCTCCCCCCCCGCGTCACTTCCTCAACCCTTTGGAGTCGAAGCTGCGCGAGTGATTTTTCGGCGGTCGCACGGCCAAGTCGCGCGGGCGCACAGACTGACAGGCAATCGGGCGATGATTCCAGTGCGTCGTTCGCCCTTCCTCCAGTTCCCTTTCTCCTTCGCCTTCTCCTCCTCCGCCGCTCGCTCGGGTAATGATTGTCACAAATTCCCCCCTTGCGCTTCCGTCTCATTTCCAACGGGGACCAGGATTCCTCCGCCCCCCCTTACGTCGACCGCCAGGTGTGCAATAGCTCTGTCCGCCCTCATATCTTGCTCCTCCAAATTACTCACTGCGTGGAGCTCCCCATATGTGCATCTCATGTTTTATGTCATGCCGTGGCGAGCGTTTGTTCGTGAGCGGTCGATTACAGTAGCGCGTCCACGTGGGCGACAGGGCCGACGAAGACGAGTGACCCCTAATGCGAGTGATTGCGTATGAGTCAGAGTGAGCTTTGAGTATGGTTGAATGCGAGCCTCTTCCTCTTCATCCCCCCTCCTCAGCTGCCAGGCCTTCCCCTTGTCAGCCCGCGGTAGCTTTGGAGCTTCCCATAAGTGCATATGTTTTAGGATAGTTGGCAGTGGGATATGTAAGACGAGCGTTTAGCCACACAAGGCCATAAGTGCATGTCATGTTGGAGGGTAGTGCCACGGTGCGCATCTATCTATGATAGATGTTTGCTCCACGAGCGCGTCCATGTGAGCGGCGAGCACACGCGCGCGCAGCGCGGCTGCAAATCCACCGCGTGCATGCATTCATTCACGTGCATATGCCCGCGCATTTTTCCAAGGCAAAGAATTCCCTCGGCGCCGCTTCCGAAGCACCATGGGGAACACGAGTGACAAGTGTTCCCTTCTCCTGCTCCTGCTCCTCCTCCTCATCCTCCTGCTCCCCCTCCCCCTCCGCACCCCCATGCCCCTCCTCACGATCCCCCGCCTCCTCCTCCTCCTGTTCCTCCTCCTCATCCTCGTTCTTGTCATTTCCCTCGCTCACGCCATCCTCCTCCTCGTCCTCAATCTCTTAGACATCATCCTCCTCATCCTTGTCGTCATCCTTCACCTCATCGTCCTGATCCCCCCGCTTCCTCCCCCAGTCCTCCTCCTCGTCCTCCTCCTCCTCCTCCTCCTCCTCCTCCTTCTCCTCTTCCTCCCCCTCTTCCTCCTCAGCCCTGGTTCCCCAGGGCGCGTTTCACCACGTTTGGAGGCGCAGCCCCGCCGGCGATGTTGGGCATGAAAGCGAGCAAACCGCCAGAGACATCCCCGCAAACTGACCGCGAACGAGCCCGTGCAACCACCCCTGGCGGCTCCCTTTACGGGTGCTGAAACCAGAGCCCCGCCTGAGACATCCTCACAATCTGCTTTCCAAGCGAAAAATGGTGAGCCCAGAAACAAGCAAACCGCTTGAGACATCCCCACGAAATGGCCGCGAGCGAGCCCGTGCAACCACCCCTGGCGACTCCCCTTAGGGGTGCTGAAACCAGCGCCCCGCCTGAGACATCCTCACAATCTGTTCCCCGAGCGAAGGATGTTGAGCCCAGAAACAGGCGAACCGCTTGAGACATCCCCACGAAATGGCCGCGAACGAGCCCGTGCAAACACCCCTTACGGCCCCCTTCGGGGTGCTGAAACCAGCGCCCCGCCTGAGACATCCTCACAACGTGCTTTCCAAGCGAAGGATGTTGAGCCCAGAAACAAGCAAACCGCTTGAGACATCCCAGCGAAATGGCAGCAAATGAGCCCGTGCAAGCACCCTTGGCGGCTCCCTTTAGGGGTGCTGAAACCAGCGCCCCGCCTGAGACATCTTCACAATCTGCTCTCCAAGCGAAGGATGTTGAGCCCAGAAACAAACAAACCGCTTGAGACATCCCCACGAAATGGCCGCGAGCGGGCCCGTGCAAACACCCTTGGCGGCCCCCCTTAGGGGTGCTGAAACCAGCGCCCCGCCTGAGACATCCTCACAATCTGCTTTCCAAGCGAAGGATGTTGACCCCAGAAACAAGCAAACCGCCTGAGACATCCCCACGAAATGGCCGCGAACGAGCCCGTGCAACCACCCCTGGCGGCTCCCCTTAGGGGTGCTGAAACCAGCGCCCTGCCTGAGACGTCCTCACAATCTGCTTTCCAAGCGAAGGATGTTGAGCCCAGAAACAAGCAAACCGCCTGAGACATCCCCACAAAATGGCCGCGAACAAGCCCGTGCAAACACCCCTGGCGGCTCTCCTTAGGGGTGCTGAAACCAGCGCCCCGTTTGAGACATCCTCTGAGTATGAGTAAGTCTGTGTATGGGTAAGTCTGTGTATGCGTAAGTCTGGGTATGAGTAGGTCTGTGTATGAGAAAGTCTGTGTATGTGTACGTCTGGGTATGAGTAATTCTGAGTATGAGTAATACTGTGTATGAGTAAGTCTGGGTATGAGTAAGTCTGTGTATGAGTACGTCTGGGTGTGAGTAAGTCTGTGTATGAGTAAGTGGGTGTATGAGCATGTCTGAGTGTGAGTAAGTCTGAGTATGAGTAGGTCTGAGTATGAGTAAGTCTGAGTATGAGTAAGCCTGGGTATGCGTAGGTCTGAGTATGAGGAAAGAGGAGGAGGGGAGGAGGACAGAGGAGGAGGGAGAGGGAGTAGGAGGCGTCCAAGTAATTATTCACTGCGTGGAGCTCCCCATTTGTGCATCCCATGTTTTATGTCATGCCGTGGTGAGCGTCTGTTCATGAGCGGTCGACTACAATAGCGCGTCCACGTGCCTGAGACATCCCCACAAACTGACCGCGAACGAGCCCGTGCAACCACCCCTGGCGGCTCCCCCTAGGGGTGCTGAAACCAGCGCCACGCCTGAGACATCCTCACAATCTGTTCTCCAAGCGAAGGATGTTGGGCCCAGAAACAGGCGAACCGCCTGAAACATCCCCACAACATGGCCGCGAACGAGCCCGTGCAAACACCCCTGGCGGCCCCCCTTCGGGGTGCTGAAACCAGCGCCCCGCCTGAGACATCCTCGCAATCTGCTCTCCAAGCGAAGGATGTTGAGCCCAGAAACAAGCAAACCGCCTGAGACATCCCCACAAAATGGCCGCGAACGAGCCCGTGCAAACACCCCTGGCGGCTCCCCTTAGGGGTGCTGAAACCAGCGCCCCGCCTGAGACATCCTCACAATCTGCTCTCCAAGCGAAGGATGTTGAGCCCAAAAACAAGCAAACCGCCTGAGACATCCCCACACAATGGCCGCGAACGAGCCCGTGCAAACACCCCTGGCGGCTCCCCTTAGGGGTGCTGAAACCAGCGCCCCGCCTGAGACATCCTCACAATCTGCTCTCCAAGCGAAGGATGTTGGGCCCAGAAACAAGCAAACCGCCTGAGACATCCCCACAAAATGGCCGCGAACGAGCCCGTGCAAACACCCCTGGCGGCTCCCCTTAGGGGTGCTGAAACCAGCGCCCCGCCTGAGACATCCTCACAATCTGCTCTCCAAGCGAAGGATGTTGAGCCCAGAAACAAGCAAACCGCCTGAGACATCCCCACAAAATGGCCGCGAACGAGCCCGTGCAAACACCCCTGGCGGCTCCCCTTAGGGGTGCTGAAACCAGCGCCCCGCTTGAGACATCCTCCAAATCTGATGTGTGTTGAGTAAGTCTGAGTATGAGTAGGTCTGAGTATGAGTATGCCTGAGTAAGAGTAAGTCTGTGTATGAGTAAGTATGTGTATGAGTAAGTCTGGGTATGAGTAGGTCTGTGTATGAGAAAGTCTGTGTATGTGTACGTCTGGGTATGAGTAAGTCTGAGTATGACTAATACTGTGTATGAGTAAGTCTGGGTATGAGTGAGTCTGTGTATGAGTACGTCTGGGTGTGAGTAAGTCTGTGTATGAGAGTAAGTCTGAGTGTGAGTAAGTCTGAGTATGAGTAGGTCTGAGTATGAGTAAGTCTGAGTATGAGTAAGTCTGTGTATGAGTAAGTCTGAGTATGAGCAAGTCTGAGTATGAGTAAGTCCGACAGGAGGGGAGGAGGAAAGAGGAGGAGGGAGAAGGAGAGGCAGTAGGAGGCGTCCAAGTAATTATTTAATCGCTTCGCTCACTCCGCTGGCCCATATTGTCGCACCGTTGTGGGCTAGCCGAGTTTTGGGGCCTCTTGGGGGCCGTTTTGGGGCCTCTTGGGGCCTCTTTTGGGCCTCTTGGGCGCCTCTTGGGGCGTCTTGGGGGCCTCTTGGGGGCCTCTTGGGGCCTTTTTGGGGCCTCCTGGGCGCCTTCTGGGGCGGAGGGCTCGATTTTTCAGTTCTCGGTTCCCCTCTTGAGCCCCTCTTGGGCCCGTCTTGGGGCCTCTTGGTCCGTCTTGGGCGGCACTTGGGCCGTCTTGGGGGCCCTCCTGGGCCGTTCCGGGGCCGTCTTGGGAGCATCGTGGGCCGTCTTGGTTCGGTCTTGGGAGCCTCTTGGGCCGTCTTGGAGCGTCCGGAAGCCGAAAAAGCCAGAACGCAAAAAACATAAAAAACAATGAAAATCAACGATTTTGGCCTCTTGGTGCCCTCTTCGGAGGCCTCTTGGAAGGCCCTTGGGGCGTCTTGGAGGCCTCTTGGGCTGTCTTGGGGCCCTGTTGGGCGTCTTCGGGCGATCTTTGGCCGTCTCGGGGCCCTCTTGGACCGTCTTGGAGG